TTCCTATTTAAAGATTAAAATAAATTGCAAATTATTTCATACCTTGGTTCTTTTTACTTTCTTCAGAATTATTATCTGATGCAAATTTATAGTGTAAAATTTTCATTCCAAACATTTTAAATTAGGAAATGGGTTATTCAAGCAAAGCATTTTGCATGAAATGTATATACAAACTTAGCAAGTTTGTGTTATCTTATAGCGCAGGTGGGCATGGTGCAGCCCGCTGGCCTCGGTGCAGCCCGCTGGCCTCATGCGACCTGACAGTTATTTTATGAATTAAAAACCCTATGTGTGCAGATCATTTTAACTAGAAATCACTTGAAAAAGTAATTTCAAAATTGAGAATACAGTGGTATAAAAGCAGTACTTGAAGGTTTTTGGAAGCACAATGTAAACATAAAAGCCTGGGTGGTGCAGCCCTTGGTGTTGCATCAAAAATTCACTTTGGCCCTCCAACCGATTCTTATGCCCACCCCTGTCTTACAGTATGAATGTCACTCCAAAAATTGACATTATTAAAGCATCATCAGGATCTTCAGGATAATAACGTTAATCTGTATCTGTATCTGAACTACCTGTAGTTCTTAAATGAAATAATTATCAGCGGCAAATTCAGGGGGGGGGGGGTAGGACATATTTATAGCAAATATATAAAATATAAAATTTCAACATACTGTATAGCCTAGTCCTTTTCCTATACATTAAAAACCCCTTAATCAATTACTGTTAGTGATGATACTGAATGAAAAATAAGAAACAGAACATGCAAAGATCATATTTTTTTCAAAACAATCATTTATTTCTAAGACTGATATTTCACATCAACATCAAGTAAAAGTATGTAGCTCATGTGCTACTTCTTTAAGAGAAGTGTTGCTATGAATGTTGTTGCTTTGTCAGAAACTTTACTGTAAATCATGCTACAGCCTTTAGCAGCAAAGTTATGGTTTCTTCACAGAGTTGCAACTCATGCTATGATTGGTAAACAACACTACATTTTTTGTGCACATTCCAATCTACCATCGTAACCCAGCTACCATCGTAACCAACCCAGTCACCATGGTACCATTGGCATAAAATCACCATGGTAATATCGGCATTACGAATATCGTCATGTTAACGTCTTCTTTATCAGCATCACCACTACTACCATAGTTATCATTCATAATTCCATACTCCATCGATTTTATTATCAGCATGTCATAATATGCATTGGCGTATTTAGGGGGTGTGGACCCCAAAAAATCTTGCACCACCAGTCGCTTAAGCATCCCCCCCCCCAACCCTTGAAAATGTTCGAAGCAAAAAAACTCACGCTCAAGTAGTTAAAACTGACCACGTATTACATTATATTGCGAGTTGTGCTCCCCCTCACTAAATCATCGAGGCCCGCATTTTACATTCGCGCCTCCATCAGCCACAACCCCGCAATTTCAAGACTCCTAGATACACCACTGCTGTACCAGGCAGTGAATCATGTGACTCGATCATGTAATAATGTGCAACTGCAACTTAAGTAGTATTTACTTGAGTTGTATAAGCTTATGAGTATTGTACTTACAAATAAATATTCATAAACATATAATAATGAACACTAATTAGTATATGTTTATGAATAATTAATTTATACAAAAAATATTCATAACATATACTATTGAATCTGATTTATTAGCATCATGCTAATTAAAATATATATTTGTGTAAACAAAAAAAAATTACTATATTGATTGCACTATATATATTTACAATAAATTACAATAAAAATTTAACTGTTATTTTAGGTTAAAATTGATCAACTGACAATAGAAGAACATTTCCTTGAATTTCACTTGGAAAAAATATGTTGTTGTATTATGTCATTATGACTAATGCTATCAATAGACTTACCATCATAGATAAAAATGACCTGTGAAAATACATTATGTAGGCCTATATGATATGTTAGAATAAGTAAAACCCATCAAACATCCAAATAAAACAATCAATACTAATTTAAAATTATCAAATGTGTTACCCTAATATCAGTGGTCTTAGGAGTCATGACATGGAGTTAAAAAAGGGGGAGGGGGGAGGAATTGAGAATAGTTGAATAATGAAGTGATATCAGGCAACTGCTAAACTTGAATGTACTTTTTTCAGTGAGGGGTGCTTTTACCAGGGTGTTCTCTCCCCTATTCCCCCTTAACAAATAGGGTAATATATCCAATAGCTACAGTGAATTTTATATTGAATACCTTCAACAATAATTGTTATTTCACAAATGCACATGCTTTTATATGTATGGCTATTGTTTTGAGGGACCCTAGTAACAAAATATAAACGGGGGGGGGGGGGAGTAGCTGAAAGGGTCCATTAAAGCATAGATATTTTGTTTTCACAGTATTAAAGGATTGGAATCAATTTGTAAAGTTTATCATCCATTAAGCAAAGCTTTTTCAATAGCTACTAAGCACTGAGATAGGATCTGTTTCTGTTTGCTTGATAAATTATTAGAATTAATGCTGAATTACGAATTTAGGTTTATTTATTTATTAGTTCAAATTCCAGCATTCTATTTCAATACGTTTTGTTAATTATTGACGAAGTCTGTAGTGGAGTTAATTAAATTGAATGACAATCTGCATATCAACTATGGTTGATGCACCTATTAGGGAACAAATTTCTGTATTTAAATTCCACATTCTAAAATGCTGAGCACTTAGAATAATTTTGTCCAACATAATTGGACAGTGTGTCCTTGAGATGCCCTGTAGATTGTAGATTATCATAATTTGGAAAAAAAACACAACTAAAAACAGAGATTTGTATTCTTTTTTTTTAATAGTTCTTCTATTTCTTACTTTGTTTTAATTAATGTAATGTAAAATATATTTGTTCATGGTCTCCTTAAAAACTGTAAACTGTAGTTTATCAGAATAATGAAATATATAATGTACTTCAAAATAATGTAATATTTTGTTCATGGTCTCTGTATACTGTAGTCTATCAGATTAATGTAATATCTTCCAAATAATATAAATCCCAATTAAGTTATTTTAGATTTATGTAACTTTTTCTTTGTTTTATTATTATTATTATTATTATTATTATTATTATTATTATTTATATCATTTACATAGCACTAATTGTTTGACTATAACTCACTCTATTCAAAGAGATATAGAGTGGGTTATATAGATACAAAGTGTAAGTTATTTTAGATTTATGTAACTATTTCTTTGTTTTATTATTATTATTTATATCATTTACATAGCATTACTTGTTTAACTATAACTCACTCTATTCAAAGAGATATAGAGTGGGTTATATACAGTAGATACAAAGTACTTCTTTTTCCTAATCATTAGGCCCACATGCTTTAAGTGTTGCTGCTGGTAATAAGCGCAGGAGCAGGCAACCCCACCAGGTACCCATTTATATTCCTAAGCGGAGAGAAGCAATGAAGACAAAGTGCCTTGCTCAAGGACACAAGCGAAATGTACAGCAATGGATTAAAACCCTGACCTTGAGGTTGGGGAACTAACCCGTTCCCTTTCCACGCGCCAAACCACTTCCTTTTGCAACCTTTATGTAAGGTGTCATCACAAAAATGAGTTGTGTTGCATAATCCAAAACATGTTTGACAGAAACAGTGTCAGGGTTCTGAAAAAGCTTAATACTTACATTTCCGATTACAATTTGTGTTGATTTACATACTATTATTCACCTTAAGAGGCGATTTCTCTGACATTTTTTTTCAGACATATGAATTTGAAAATAATCATACTTTGATTTCATTCAACCGAGGAACTTAATTCAAATGCCAAAGCTCTCTATGTGTACAAATCAATAACTATTATTTCATGTTTGATACCAAATGATCTATGAACCCTCACATATTTCTATGTATCAGTTTAGAACCAATGAGAGATATGTCTATAATAATGCATGTAGTACATTTTGCATTTTTCATTTCTTACTGTATATTGTATTACTTTAATGGTATGGAAATAAAGTATTTGATTTGATATCATTTGAGCTCACAAAGTTTTCGGTCACTGGATTCAAGCAATTATGCAAATGAGAAAATATGCAACTGTCTCCACCACTGCAGACAGCGTTTCTAGTTGTGCTAAGCACAAACTAATTCACTATCCTACCGGGTTGCCATTTAACGAAGCAATGTACATGAAGCGCCTTTCCCAAAGGCAAAAGCCTTTAGAGTATGGAGTACCGAGTTGGTATCCATTTCAAGCTGGACATTTGAAATCTATTGAAAAGGTTCAGAGAAAAGCAACTCGTATGAGCATCCCAAATGAACTTAGATCTGTGTTAAGCTATGAGGAGAGATTAGTTAAATTTAACATGATCTCTATGAAGGCTAGATACGATTTCATTCTTGTAGCTTTTGTTTGTAAATGCCTTTATCATGTGTATGATTTAAACTGTTTGGAATTTGTTAAGATCAACACAAGACACTCTGATGATTTGTGTTTTAGGCATGCCTTTGCCCGAACCAATGCATTTAAATTCTCTGCTTTCAATTATTTTCCCATTGTATGGTAAACTCTTCCACTAGAAGTACGTGATGCTGCTCTCTTTAACATTAACTTATTTCTCAGAAAGCTAAAAGAACATTTTAACAAATGAGAGAATTTCAGATATGCCTATGCCCAAGTCAACCAAAAAATGAACTCTAATTATTTAATTTTCTCTTTTTGGTGTTTGTTGTTTTGTGAAGTGGGGGCTGGGTGTTTTCCTATTTCTGATCAAATTTTTTGTGTGCTTTTTTATTTGTTTGTGTGATTGTTTAATATTTATAATAATTATTATGCTGGTAATTGTAATTAAAATTATTGTAGTTATTATTATTGCTGTTTATTATACTAAAAAAAAAAAAAAATAATAATAATAATAATAGTAGTAATAGTAATAATAAAAATAACAATAATAATATAAGTAATGAACATATTTTAATTGTTAATTATTTTTGTATTTTCACACACATATATATATATATATATTTTTATAATGTATTTATACTGCTAGTCCTTGTTTCAAATTTTCTGAATATTTTACTTTATTGTTAAAAAAAAAAAAAAGGTGAAATAAATGAAATGAAATGAAATAGCAAATGGTCAGACTCGAACATTGACCTCTTAATTGGAAACCTAGCGCCTTTCAATTGTGTCACAAACTGGCAACTTGTTTAACTATAACCCAGTCTATTCTATAATCATACCCTTATAGAGCATTATTTTGTTTTGTGATTATTTTTTAATAAATGACCAAATATATAAACCTCTTTTAGTATAGATTATATTAATTTCTTTTCATAAATAATATACATATTATTTCAATGCCTAATTCTTCTATAGATTATCTTAAATAATTTGAGTTTAGTGTTCTGACTTTTTAAAATGATTTTCAGACGCAAGTTACTGTCCATTTAACAATCGAAAATCTCTTAACAGAAAAAAAAAAATGTCACCATATTGATTGAAACTGTTCACTGTACAGCAATCATCCCATCTATGTTGACAACTAATACTTGGATACAGTAATTTATTTTGGACGCTTCATTCTCTGATCTTCCTTCGCGACGAATCCAACATCCAGAAAACAGATTTAGCTTCTGAAAAACAAAATTTAACTATATATTTAATTCTAATGAGTTAGTAATACTAATTTAAGCACAAGTCTCATTTGAGACTATCATGACTTGTATTTCAGTCTTCCAGCTGAAACACAAGGACAGCAGCAATGGGAATTGAACCGGGGACAAAAGGATCTCCACGTTTCAGCTCACATACAGTGGCTACCACCAGTTTAGCTGACTGAGTTGATCTGGGATGGGGTGGGGTAATCAGTAGAAACTACCAAGATTATCCTGCACCATTTTTTCTTAAATGGCATAAAACAGAAGAAATTCATCAAATTTAATAAAAATATGAAAGGATGAAACTAGACTAACTGAAATTTTAAAAAAATAAAAAAAATAAATGCAGTGTTTCAATGCCTTTTTCATTATAACTAACTGTCCTTTGTATCATGAATTGAATATAAATACACATTTTGGAATGTCTAACAAAGCAAACTATACCTTTTTCATTTAAGCACAGTTAATCTCATTAACTTTCAGTCGCATTCCAAGAGACAAAATTAAGACGACAGACTATACTTCCCTAATAGGTGCAAAAAATAGCACCAGTTTATGAACAGTTAATTATACTGTCTGAACTTTGATAAAATTTCCTGTCTGCCCAAACGGCCTGACATACACAATTACAACATCTTATTTGTACTTCAAACGAAAAGTTAAATTGGTGGAAGGCAGGTTGCCAATACATATGGTTAAATTAGTAGGAGGCAGGTTGCCAATAAGTATGAAGAAATTATTAAAGCAAATTTAGGAAAATGCAAAATAAATTTGACCCTGACAGACTTGTTTTGGTCTAGGCATTGTCATTATCATTTCCGATTAATGGCCCAGTTTCCACGTGTGCGTGGGTTGGCTGGAATGCTGTGGATGCCAGCTCACCATAGGCCTCTGAGAATTTCTCTATAGGTATCTGGATATTCTTTTGAATAACTGATACAACTAATTTTAATGTCATTTTATGTATAAAGGTGATGTTTGAATCCATTAATGATAAAAATAAATCATTACTATCATTTAGTTTGGTCATATGTCTTCCATAATTATCATATGATATTATATTACTATTTCATAGTCATTACTATCTTCCATTATTTATGGTCATTATTATTTTCCACCACTTATTATTGGCTTCTTCCGAGTTTGATGGACAATTTCATGTTTGATGTCTTCAGTCTGAGCTTAAAGTAGCACTGACTGCTTAAAACATACATTGAAATCTTGATCCCTTTTAGGGTATTTATCTTCATGATGTATTATAGTCATTCCATATATTCTCACATATAAGACAAGCCATAATATAGCAAATTATGATCGAAAAAAAACAGGTGGGTCGTCTTATACGCGCAACACATACACATTTTTGATTTTTAAATCATGTTCGTTTTATGAATTTACTACTGAAATTAATCTGGAGGTTGTGAGTTCGATTCCTACCCGAATTACTTGCAATATTTCTCTTGCTAGTACTCAGGAACGTACTGAGTTTTCGGTACGGTAACCAGTCAGGCAGGGCAAAAACATCACTCCTACAGTATGATATTTTCCTGATGCAAACTCACATTAAAATTAATTATTATTGTAATCAATCTCTTTATCATGATGGTCTTTACTGGATATTGGTCATTTATCATAATAAAATATTGATCATTAATCATGATCACTAATATGTATCATACCATACAGACATTACTAATATCATTATCACTGTTATTACTATCTGTAACATGGTAAATAGCATCTCCATTGTTATCATGGTCATTATTTCCTCATAATAGAATGTCCAGGGCAGTATTTTTTTAGATTTCAACACAGTGCCTTGGGGTGATATTATTGACTGTGTATTATGTACCTACAATACATTACATGAAGTATCTCATGTCAATTATAGATACAAGTCTAAGATGATTAGATGTGAGCCTAAAATATCCTCCCAATCATTATTATGAAGATGTAAACATACTGAACTCTTTAATAACAATTATTATTTCCAGAAACATTACTGTTAAGATAATATTTTAGTCTGTGATGTATATTAACATTATTACCAAAGAGTATAGAATAGCAAGATGTCCGACCACTATAGTTTCTTTGAAATGAATCCTATCTCGAAAAGTACTACTACAAGCTAGAGGGTGTCCTTCATTCATGATGCATGCACAAATTTCAAATTCTGCCACGAAAAACAAGGGCAGTAGTACTGCTTGCTCTTCCATACTCTTTGTTATTATTACTCAATTTATTCAACAATTGGAGGGAAACATTTTTATCATTCTGATTTTAAATTGAAAGCAATTTACTTAGATATACAAAGCAAGTAATTCAAATATGAAATTTTATTATTAAATTTTTTTTTGCTCTATATATGTTATATCCTAAGCTTTGTAATATTAATTCATACCACCATCCATTTTATGTCACCATCTTCGCCTTCATCCATCAATACCTATTTTTCATCCACTCTATTCTAAACCTCATCAAATATTCAGAAGATGTGATCATTTACAATGCCAGCATTTTCATTTTTAATTTGCTTCAATAGCATCAAATCTTCACTATCAGCGTCCAATCTTATCATTGTTTATAAACTTCCATCATCACCATCATATTCAATCTAATTTGCATGTTGCATTTGGAACTTGGAACTTGAGGTTGTAATTATTTTGATGAAAGCCTGTAGCAGAAGGAAAATTCATCTGTGTTGACTTCTAACTGGCATGAAATTTGGTCAGAAAAGCAATTTGTACTTGTACTGTCATCGTACACTTACAATTAAAAAAACATAGGCTCCCAGCGGAAGCGTGTGTCTACTGTCTTATTCTTAAAAGATGTTTACTTAATTATCTGAATAGGAAGTTTGTTATCTCATCTCTATGACGTATGTTCGACTTTCGAACTCTATTCGTTTTCTCATAGGGGCCCCCTATCTCGCGGTACTACCCATCATGCACCTCCACCGGATTCACTCGCTCTAACAGGGTTAACTGCCAGATGACAACATAGTGACTACTGCACTCCCCAGGGGGCAGTAGACAGGTGGCGTACCTAGAAGTCTTTAAATGGGGCACAAAGAGTGGGGAGGGGGACTCAATGATCAGTTGAGGGGTGCTATCTTGCAAATTTGGTGATTTTTAACTACTTGCAAGTGATTTTGGGGAGGGGGGAAAGTGATTTTTGGAGAGGTGTGCAACCCCCACACATAGACACACTACTGCAATAGACACAAAAACATATTTATAGAGGGTAAGCCTTCCAGCTGATCCTAGAAGGTCAGGGACACTATTGCATAAATGAAATGAGTGGGTTACCAAGATGTTTTTGTTTAATTGTGAAAAGATGTGGTAGAATTTTAACCCAGGGCCTTGAAATTGAATCGAAAGCATCTTAAAATTCCAGTTATGGTAAGATGCTTGCCTTCCAAATCTTTGATTTTTGTTTGCAATTAAAATGATGCTTCACTCTTTCGAAGCCTCAAATTTTATTGACAGAAATTAAATTCAAGTGCCATTAAAACAAAACACTGTATATAATTATTTCTTATAATATAATAAATTGTTTATTCACTCATTAAATTTTTCTTTCACAGGTTATTATTATTTTAGGATGTTTCTATATTTCATACACACATTTTGTAACTTATATGTTGACAATATAGTGTTCCTGTTTAACTACACATTTCCGTTATTGCACTTTTAATAATGACCTTGGCATTGTAATTAATTTCACAATGTAGACTTAAAGTGTCTTTGAATGATTTCTTGAGTATGTATAGTACAGTATATAACTACAATGCATTTAACTTTAAGTATCTTACGTCTATGAGAGCTGAAATTGGGCCCAAGCATTCGCGCATGTGGATGATTGAGAGCGAGCTTAAAATAATCCTTTGAAAACTGATTGGAAAATTTTAAAAATTATCAACTCTAAAATCAGCAATGTTGCTTTAACTAGCAGTGATCTAGTGGTAATTAGAAATTACAAATCATATCATGCATATCTTAATAACTGAATTTTCAATACATTAAATTGTATATTCCAAATAGAAGTGGTTTAGAGCAACCTTGAGGTCGGTGGTTAAATCCCTCGCTGTGTATTTCGCTTGTGTCCTTGAGCAAGGCACTTTGCATTGCTTCTCTCCACCCAGGAGTATAAATGGGTACCTGGTAGGGTTAAATGCCAAATGCACTGATGTAGCTGCTGCAACATTATGGAGTATTCCCCCGGGAAGATGAGTTTGTGTTCTAGGTGTGTAATCCAATGACTGAGGTAATGACAATGTGAAGTGCATAGACGTCTCGTCATAATGCGCTATATAAGTCTACCATTATTATTATCCTTATTATTATTATTATTTAGTAATTGATTGCCATTTCTTAATGATACAGTAAGTCAATGATAGAAGAGTTGTAATTTAAAGAGATAAATTCATTTGAAATGCATTTCAAATTATGTCTTATATTATACAACTCGGAAAGATTTGGCAATCATTTATAATTTTAATACTTAATTCTTCATTAAATTTTTAAAAATTTATATTTGCAATATAATCACCATTTATCTCTTATGTAAGTCAGGATGTGTTATTTTAAACATATTTTAAATATTTCCTGTTAAAAAACTTGGAGGATTAGCCAAATATTTATACTTATTAATATGCACATAATTGTACAATATTTATATTTTTAATATAAACACCATTTATCTCTTATGTAAGTCAGTGACAGAAAGAAGATATTTCAAGACTACCTTTAATTATTTCCTGTTATAAAACTCAGAGGATTATTCCAAAATTTATATTTATTAATATGCATTAATTATATTTATATTTTTAATATATACACCATTTATCTCTTATGTAAGTCAGTGACAGAAATGTTATAGATATTTCAAACACTTTAAATTATTTCCTGTTCTAAAACTCTAAGGATTAGCCCAATATTTATACTTATTAATATGCATTATAATTAAATTTATATTTTTATAATAAACATCATTTATCTCTTATGTAAGTCTGTGATAGAAGCATTATAGAGATATTTCAAACATACTTTAAATAATTTTCCTGTTATAAAACTCAGATAGATGATTTGGCTAACTGTTATGCCAATCAATTTATATTGAGTAACTGACAGCCACGTCAAGTGGTGCGTACATATTCAATATTATAGAATTACACACGATTGATCTGGATATTAGAGAGGGTGCTATTCACATCCTGGCAAAGATTTTAATGACAGTGTAACATTGGTAACAATAGAGTATATAACACCTGTGTGAGTAAAATAAAGAATCCCTTTATATTTACATGACATATAATAACCTTTCCTTCAGAAATAAAATGTAACAAAGTAAGAAAATTTCAGATTGGAGCCGTAACATAGTATATCACATCACCATTTTACATGAGATATTTTCTTAGCAGTATAATAACAGGGCTTACAAATTCAGAAAATTCAAGTTATTTCTGAAGTCTCAAACCCATTTTTTTCAGGTACCAAATCTTATTTAATAACAACAAAGTTAATATGTAATTTGCTTCCATGTCAACTCAAATGAATTTATATTTACCATGAACCATAGGAATAGTGCATATGAAATATAATTATTATTCATAACTATTTATTGTAGTAAATAATACATCATTAAACTTACTGACTATTCGCCACTTCGGCAGCACACACGACAGTCCGACTGCAGATTCTGACATCCACTGGCAGTGTCCTCGTGCGGGCCTCCATGAATGTTGTCGCAGTAAAAAAATTGCTCATGATCAAGATTCTTTGTGGCGTTGGTGAGTTCCGTGAGTCCGTCTGCTGTCACGTTTAAGCATCCTGACAAGTCTAGGTGTTGGAGCCGAGGAAGTGGGCCAGCTTTGGCGAGGGTCCTGTGCAGAAAATTAATTTTTGTTTAAATTAAATTCTGTTCTCATCTCACAGCAAGCAAGTGTCTCACCTTTCATAGGATAAAAGTGATGTTCTATAACATAAGTCTCTGTATGAGGCTTAGGGACAGAATGGAGTTTGTATTTGTGAGAAAAAATTTGAACCCAGGACTGAGATTTGAAGGTGAGCATTAAACCACATAGCTACTGTACAGCTCTATTCAAATCCTGTTACAATTTCTGGCAAAACCAAAAGGAATATAAATCATTTAAATCTGACATTTGTTACAGGGGTTTAAACATACAGCTGTTTAAATAACAGTATTTGAAAAATCAGACTTAACAAATCTACCATTTTGGGGAATTCTCAGACAGAGGCCATCACCAAATCGTTAAAAAATTCTTTTTTAACGTTGAAAATATTAACGTAGCATGATGTATAAATATATAAGGGTTGTTTAGTTTTGGCCATTATCTGACAAACATGATTTGCGAGGAGTGACTGGTTTGGCTTGTCTTCGCCACATTTGATGACATAATTCTGATTATAATTTCCTTTATTGTTGAAGCAATAATTCTGACTCGGTATTTATTGCCATATGAGATTATATTACAAGTCAAATCACATACACTGCACATGCTACAAAATATGTTAACATTACAGAGACTGAGTACACTTTTTATTATAACATGCAAGCATGTATTAAAAATATTTCATCTGGGTTTGCATTTTCACATAAAAATATTTTAGAATACTGGAGATGTGTTTTAAGCCTTTATTTGTCCTTCTATGCCTGTAAAAGTTTAAATATCCTGTTATTCATCTTGTAGACTGTTGTGATGTGCAGTAATGTATTGTCAATAGATGATATAGTCACAGCCCCTGTCAATTTCCTATTATCTAATAGACATAATCTCAAACTAATGGTCTGAACTTTGTTAATTTAATAATGTAATCTTAATTCGATTGGCAACATCAGTAGCCATGGTTACAGGAAACTACAATTTCATTTCCATGAACAACAATAGGAAGCTACTGATGATTTATGACCTAAGATGTAAATAATTGAATTGACGAGTATCAGCAGATTTGTTAGTAAAAAAGGATTTCCATAGTGATAGACTGATAGTTAAAATTTAAGGATGTGAAATTTATATACCGGTAATTGATTGTTAAAAAGTAAAATTCTCAGCAGGTGAAATTCTTTATGTTTGTTAACTATTATGATTCTAATTAAGCCCTTTTACCTGAGGCCTGCATCCGTGATTTGATGGCATCCAGACAAGTTCAGATACCTGAATGTTATTCTTGCGTTAATCTGTGTTTCGTTGTATTGCACGTTCTTTGTTCCACATTGCTTTTTATTTATTTTTGTAGTCGCACATCTATAATGGTCATCGCCTGGTCCTGCAAATTTTTTTGATTGGTGGATATTCACCTCAACAGAGAAAATACGAGGATCGGTAGTTGATTTCACGTGGGAATCGTTTCCATGCTTGTTTGAAATGTCTACATCGTTGGGCCTTTGTGCATCAGGAGGACCCTCTTGGTAGTCACTGTTACAGGAGCACTTCGGTACTCCATTCTTGTCCAGAATCAAGTTGTGTTCATCATTATTTACATCAGTCAGGGAGTGTGTTGGTTGTACTACTCTTTTAGATAGGGCTTTGGCCAGGTTTACCAGGGTTATGTCGGTGATGCGAACACAACCGGCCAGGTTCAGGTGCTCTAGTTTACATCCTAGTCCACCATCTCCAAGTCTAAGAGTGCAAGAATAAAGATAAGTGAAATGACTACCATTAGTATATCATTAAACTAGAAATTATTATCACATCACCAATTATTACTAAAATAATAAATACACTATACTGAAAATAGTAAACTGTGATGTAATGCATAGTGTAAAGAATACTTGCATCAACTAATGAACTAATATCTGTGGTAAATTTGAAGAACTGCTACTTATAGCAAAGAGTATAGAACTGCGAAAGCTCTGACTTCCCTTATTTTGTATGGAGGCGATGGAATGTTAAAAAGTACTGAAACAAAGGGGCGTGTCCTTCGGGTGCAGGTCAACTCGGCCACAAGTCAACTCGGCCACAGTCAACTCGGCCACAAGTCAACTCGGCCACAAGTCAACTCGGCCACAAGTCAACTCGGCCACAAATCAACTCGGCCACAAAAATTTCCGGCCAGTTTGGCTACAGTCAACTCGGCCACAAGTCAACTCGGCCACAAGTTATTTAATGTAAATCTAAGTTTTTGCATCCTTTTTCTTCAATATATGATTGAAATAAAGTACACAGTATGTTTTAGTAAAACAGGACCACCACACTACCAAAAGAGATTTGTATGCTATTGCCTATGAATTAAAAAGAGTCATTTATTAATGTGTTCGTCTTCTGTTTACTCACAACATTCTACTTCAACAATAATATTAAACAATAACGACAATAAATTAGTAATATTTACATTAATAATACTTAGTCATGACGATAATAAATGTGATAATAACAACAACAACATTAATAGTAATACTTATTTTAACAAATAGTAATAATACTAGTATGGTAATAATAACGATATTTAAATATCAATTTTAATAACTAATTAGTGATAATAACGATATTGAAGGTGATAATAGCAATAATACAATAATAAATTAAAGATAATGTTTATTTTTATAATAATAGTAATACTAATTAGTAATAATAATAATAATGATACTTGTAATACTAGGCCTACTTAGTAATAATTGGGTAGTAATATCGATAATAAAGGTGACAACAGCAACAATAATATTAATAATAATATGAGAAAAATACTAATAAAACGCCAATAACAACAACTTTTTAAATTACTATTATTAAAATTATAATACTAAGACTAATAAATAATAATATGAATAATAATAATAAAAAATCGAAAATTATTTATTATTTATATGGTGCTATAAATATATGTACTATATATATGTAATAATAATAATAATATCAGCAAAAATTTGAACAATATATAATGTTAATACTAATAATTAATATTAAAACTAACGGTAATAAAAACAATAATAATAACAACAATGACAACAATAATAACAGCAATAATAATAACAATTAGTACAATCTAGTACCAGTAAATGACTTGTGGCCGAGTTGACTTGTGGCCGAGTTGATTTGTGGCCGAGATGACTTGTGGCCGAGTTGACTTGTGGCCGAGTTGACTGTAGCCAAACTTTTTGTGGCCGAGTTGACTTGTGGCCGAGTTAACTTGTGGCCAACTTTTTGTGGCCGAGTT